CAACCCAAGAAGATTTTCTCCAAGACACATTATAGCCAGATTGACCAAAACTACAGACAAAGACAAGATACTGAGATTGGAAAGAGAGAAACATTAAATTATCTGCAAAGGATATCCCATCAGCTCACAGTGGACTTCTCATTGGAAACAATGAGAGCAAGGAAAGAATGGGAAAATGTATTCAAAGTGTTAAGGGAAAAGCAATTTCAATCAAGAATACTGTACCTGGCAAGATTATCCTTCATATGGGAAGAAAAGACAAGGACATTCTCAGATACACAGAACCTGAAAGAATTTACCAGTGCCAGACTACTTTCCAAGACGTTCTGAAGGGAGTGCTATACCAAGAGAACTAAATACAGACACACAGAAATAAGAATTCAAAAACAACTAAGAAAATGGCCAATTTAATGGTAGGGAAAAGTCTGGAATTAAATATTATATCCCAGAATTTGGGGCCAGCAAATGGCGTGGTGGATAAGGGCGCTGGATTCCCACATGGCCAACCATGGTTCGAGTCTCAGACCTGGTGGCTTGCTTTCTCACTTTCCCTCTTTCACTCTCTCTCTCTGGGTCTTTCTGATCAAATTAACATAAATAAATACATAAAATGAATGAATAAATAAAATTAAATAAATAATTCTTTAAATAAATAAACAAATAAATAAATAAATATTATATTCCAGAATTTAATCGGGAAGATCGAACCACAACAGAAAATAGATTAAGTACATGAGACTGAACTGGTAAAATAGAATCTTATGACTTTTGACTAAAACATTACTGATTTTCTTTTAGGCTTTGTTTTCTAGATGTAAGGATTTTTCTCTTGTTTTGAGCTACTGAAAGGTTCATGCACCTACTATTTGAACAGAATCCTAACTTGTTTCCTGGCTTTAAGTTTTAAAAAGAAAAGCTCTCTTAGCATTTCTTTGATTTTGATTTATTAAAGTTAAAACTGCTTTTCTTGAAATTAAAATATAAATTAAAAAATACCTATTTAATGACCCCAGTAAGCTATAGCATCAGCTAGGTGCTACTTCATATTCATCCTACTCAGAGTTTCACACCTAACGTTACACATGTATTCACAGATACGTATATATTAGCTGACCTTACTATTGAAAGCAGTTAGATTATTTAAGATATTTTGTGAATCGATTAAATGTGGGGAAGAAAAAAAAAGAAATGGAAAGCAACTATAGACACCAGAGATAGTATAGAAGGAGGGTGGGAAAATAAGGGGAAAAATATATATATATATACATATGTATATGAAGCTAGAAATGGAAAATTATCAACAATAACATGTATGATTAAGCCACTATATAGTATGTTCTGGATGAGAAATCACATTTTGTATGTTGTGACAATGCTCTGTGAATGAATGTAAAATTAATTAAACATTAAAATTTTTTAAAAAAGATTTATTTATTTATTCATTCATTCATTCATTTTAATTTAACCAGAGAGAGACACACAGAGAGAGAAAGAAGAAAGTGAGAAAGCAAGCCACCAGGTCCAGGACTTGAACCCTGGTCGGCCATGTGGGACTGTCCAGCGCCTTAACCACCACGCCACCTGCTGGTCCCACATTAAAATTTTAAAAAAGAAAAAATAATAAAAATAAAATAAAATAGTCAAACACTTGCTATTTATAAGAGGCATAATTTACATATAATCTTTACAAGCATAGGTTCTCAAAAGATGTGTCTTCGTCCTTGGGAAACAATAAAAATGTAGTTTCCTGACAGAGACTATCATTCCAGGAGTCTGGGGTAGGGTACCACCTAGGGTAACAGCTGACGAGTTCTATTCCATAAGGTCATACCCTCTACTTTATTTATTTATTTATTTCTATTACTAATTCACTGGCAGGAAAGAAGTAGCTGACTCTTGCTGTCTTGGTTTCACCCATAGATTCCTTTGTTCATTCATATATTTATTTAGCAAATATCTGCTGAATGCCTACCACAATCAGGAAAACAAAGCTGAACAACAAAGAATAAAGTCCCTCCCCTTGTAGAGTTAATATTCTAACACAGGAGAAAAGACATTAAACCTAAGGCTACACGGTGTCATCACATCAGATATGATGACAAAAAACAAAAGAGGGTAAAAGAGGACTGAGAGTGACAGGTGTTCTCTGTAGATAAGACAGTCAAGGTAAGCCTAAATGAAGAGCTAATGTTTGAAGAAGAAGCTGAGTAAGAGAGAGCAAGCCATGCCAACATCTAGGGGAAGAGGATTACAGAAGACTTTTGCAAATGCGCAAGTTCAGGGACAGGAAAGAGCTTGCTAAGTCTGAGGGGCAGCAAATTTTTTGGGGTTTTTTTTGAGAGGTTTTTGCTATAGGGCGCATGTGCTCGCCAGACAGAGACAGAAAGACAGAAAGTGAGAAATCATCCTCCAGGGGGGATGGCCATGCTGCAATCCCTTCTCCATTCTCCTCTCCGGATCTTGGGCAGGCACGCAAGCACACGCGCCCCGCATGAGTTTTAAGCCACAGGGTCCGGGACACGAACCGCGGTCGACTACATGGGAGTCCAGCGTCATAGCCATTACGCTAACTGCTGGTTCCAGAGGGGCAGCAAGTTTAACAGTATGACTGGAGTGGAGAGTAAAGAGTGGAAAAGGCTTGTTAAACTGAGGTCTGGGGTAGTCAGGAACTGAAGCACTTATATCTGATTCAATCACTAACTAGAAAAGAGACACAGGCATCACTTTCCTCTCCTGGCCTCTTGTTCCTCATCTGTAAAATGAGTAACTTGGACAAGGTCATTAAAAAATTTTTCCCCTGATGGGGCCAACAGGTGGTGTGGTGGCTAAGGTGCTGGACTCCCACACGGCTGACCATGGTTCAAGTCCCAGACATGGCAGCTTGAAAAACATGCCAGGTGGGGAGGTAAGGGCGAGCGTCTCGCGGGCCATAGGAGAAAGATGGTGGTGGAGACGCGCGTTACCCAGGAGGAAATTAAGAAGGAGCCGGAAAAGCCGATAGACCGCGAGAAGACATGCCCTCTCTTGCTGCAGTTTTTCACCACTAACGGTCGCCACCGCTGAATGGACGAGTTTTCCCGCGGAAACTACCGTCCAGCGAGCTACAGATCTACACTTGGATGGATGCAACCTTGAAAGAATTGACTAGTTTAGTAAAAGAAGTCTACCCAGAAGCGAGAAAGAAGGGCACACGCTTCAATTTTGCAATTGTTTTCACAGACCTCAAAAGATCTGGCTATCGAGTTAAGGAGATTGCAGCACCATATCAGGCAGAAAGGGAACTGATGATTCCATGACCCTGCAGTCAGTCACAAAAGTTACAAATAGGAGATTATTTGGACATAGCCATTACCCTTCCAAATTGGGTACCACCTCCTTCAGGGCACATGAGACCGTATTAAATTCTATTTACTATTTCTTGAATTTATTTTTCAGTCAGTTACGTAAAATAAATTTTCACACTCTTCCCCCTCATTATTGCCATTAAGCCTTTAAATTTTAAACAAATTGTAATGTATCTATTTAGGAGTTAGGTTTGGATGTGCTATGGTATGAATATTAATAGAAAGTCTGTATGTTTCAAGCCCTTCTATAAAATACAAAGAAAAGTGCTCTTAGCATCCTGTGTAAAACTAACTATATTGTTGAATATATGTGTGCAATCAAAAAAAAAAAAAAAAAAAAGCCAGGGGCATGTGTGCCCAAAATCCCAGGAAAAGAACAGAGGAGAGATTACTGCATGGTCATGCTGTGGTGGGGTGATTTCTCACATTCTCTCTCACTGTCTCTCTCTGGCGAGCACATACACCCTAGGGCAAAAATCTTTATTACTATTATTTATTTTACTTCTTCTTCTTCTTCTGGGTCATGTGTGCTCACCAGAGAGAGAGAAAAAGAAAGTGAGAAAGCAAGCTGCCAGGTCTGTAAATCAAACCATGGTTGGTCATAATCACCATGCCACCTGCTGGCTCTGACAGACATCTTAAAAAGTAAAATAAAAAAATGTTTCTTCCTGGATTTATCACGATATGAGCCTTTATCTGTGCTAATACACTAGATACTAGCTACGTGTAGGTATTTAAGTTTAAATCAGTTAACATTAAAAATTCAGTTCCTCAATCACACTAGCATGTCCATTTCTGCATAGCCACATGGGGTTAGTGGCTGCTGCACTGGACTGCAGATACAGAACATTTCTGTCATCAGTCATTATAAGCATTTCTTTTGGACCGTGCTGCCCTAGTTGATTTCTACATCTGGCTCACCTTCCTCTTTACAACCATTCTTTATATTGGTACATTATAATATAAGCAACTTCTTTTTTTTGGCCAAAGGGTATGTGCACTTGCCATAGAAAGACAGCGAGAAAGAAGAGAAAGCATCTACCCACACTCATGAAGAATGATTATACCACAATCCCTTATCCTCTCTCTCTCCCTCCATTCCGGAATTTGGGCATCCACGTACATATGCCTGGTGTGTGTCTCAAGCTGCTGAGTCCAGGATTCAAACTGTGGATTGGCCATGTGGCTACCTTAACCACAAGGACATAGTTCCAGCCTTAGACATAAGTTCTATCAAGACAAAGGCAGTGTTGAGACTAGCAATTGGCATAATGGCTATGTTGCTGACCCATGTAGTCGACTGCGGTTCGAGTCCTGGACCTGGTGGCTTAAACTCATGCTGGGCATATGTGCCTGAGTGCATGCGCAAGATCCCAAGAAGAGAATGGAGAAGGGATTGCGGTGTGGTCATCCCCCTGGGGGGTGATTCCTTACTTTCTGTCTGTCTCTCTTTCTCTGTCTTTCTGGTAAGTGCACGAGGCCTATAGCAAAAACCTCTCCAGAAAAAAAAAAGACAAAGGCAGTGTTTTTATTTATAACACTTAGTACACAGTCTTTAATACTATATATTAAGTAAGTAAATATTTTCCGTTCTTACGGAATATTTATACTTGCGTTTTATTCTGAATATTTTCTTTTCTTAAGAAAGGATCTCACCATGTTGCCCAGACTAGTCTTGAATTTACAATCCTCTTGTCTCAGCCTCTTCAAGTCACTGGCATTACAGGCACATGCCACTGCACCTGTCCTTCAGGTTAGATGGGGAATCCAACCCAGATTTTCCATGTGACTCCAGCCTGCGGAGCACAGAATCTTAGCCGTACATGCCACTGTAGCTGGTTTTTTTTTTTTTTTTTTTTCTGGACATCATTGTGATTGTTTCGTTGTTTCTTCTAGCTATACCACACTACTTACTGTTTTCATTATTATGAACTTACATTGCTTTTTAAAAAATGTATATTCAAGTATCCCACACATTATTCTTTTTTCAAAAAATGTCCTATTGGTACTGGCAAGTAGTGTGGTGGTTAAGGTAGCTGGACTCTTACATGGCTGATTGTGGTTCAAGTCCCGGACCTGGCAGCTTGCTTTCTCACTTTCCTTCTCTCTCTCTGTCTCTGGTCAACTTCAATAAAATAAATAATTTTTAAGAAGTCCTATTTTTCCATATTGCTTCCACTAACATTAACTGGATGACCTAGAATATCATGGCTGTGGCCTGTTACTAACTCAAGGTGTCCCTAAAATGGGAACTGATTATTCCAATGGAATCTTGCTCTTCAAAGCCACAAAGTGTTTGGGAAAAAACCCGTTCTAGCTGATTCACACTTTAATATTTAAGACCCAACACATTTTCAGTGAAGGCTGTTCATTTCCTACCAAGAGGTGTGTTTTTCTTCTTGAGATCTTGTAACAGATTACTGAACCCATAAGAGGTGCTAAACTATTTTTTTTCATAATTATTTTATTTAACTTTACTTATTTTGATTTGAACAAAGAGGGACAGAGTGAGAGAGAGAACAAGAGAGAGGGAAAGTGAGAAAGCCAGCCACCAGGTCCGGGACTTGAACTCCAGTCAGCCACGTGGGAGTTCAGTGGCCCCAACCACTACGCCACCTGCCGGCCCTGCTAAACTATTTCTTAAATGAAGATAATGTTGTCTGAGGGAAAAAAGGAAGCCTACTGGGTGTTTGGGGCCTTGCTTTTTACTGAAGTAGAGGACATGAGGAACAAGTCACTAGGTGAAGGGGACTTCGCTAGGCTGAAGAATGTGTGAAGAAAAGCGAAATGTTCATAGAACCTGAAAAATAAGATGGCATTTCAACGAAGAGTGAAGAAATGCTCCCTTACCTTGGACATGGCTTTAAGACTTCAAGAATTTATGACAGTTTGCTTGTCCTTCTCCTTCAGGCTCCTCTCTGGGAGAAGTATCCTGAGAAAATAGAGCTACAGAAGGAAAAAGAAATCATAAAATGCCAGGCCTGCTCTGTAGCTCCCAGCATCGCCAGCCTGGAAACCTTTCTTTCCTTTTCTTTCTTCTGCTTCTATCACGGAAGTGTCACTGAAAGAGTCATTCATACTAAATTTACAATTATTCCTCCCAAGTGCTTTAGGTCTCAAGAACATGATATACATTTTCTGTGCATAAGTTACTGCCTCATTTTTAATTATACACGATAATAGCAATTACAGATGGCATTATCAAGTAAGGATTTCCCCCCTTTCATACATCAAGGAACCACACTGGTAAAATTATCCAAGATATCATGGTAATAACTAATCAAGCCAAACTGGAAACTAAGTCTAACTTCCTAGTCTTTCCACTAGGTGATAATGCGGAAAAGAAGTATGTCCCCGCTTGTTCTACAAGGATGAGCAATAAAGCTGCAAAGTGAGGGCCTCAGAGATCTTTATATAGAGGAGGCATCAGAGGGACCACGTGGTTTGGATGCTACTAGACCAGAGTCAGGACGCCCTGCTTCTGCTCCTGGCTTGTGACAAACTGCACCTGAAAACCAATCTCTTGACTTTTCTGAGTAATTTCCGGGGGGTGGGGAGGAGGGAGGTTATACATCAGCTGTCATAGAAATTAATTCTCATGATTTATTTTCCACTAGACCTAACTGCCTTGAAGAATGGTGATTATCTAAGCAGCAACACAGTGGTCAACCTATAGCACAGTTGTTAAGCTGTGTATAGGGAGCTGGATCCCACATAGCTGACCACAGTTCAAATCCTGGCCCTGGCAGCTTGGGAAATATGCTGGATGCAGGTAAGTGCAGGCCCCAATCCTGATAGGACAGAAAAATGGAGGAAAAAGGACTGCAGCATGGCCACGCCCCATTAGGGCCCGCTCTGTCTCTCTTTATCTCTGGTGAATGCACATACCCTCTGGCAATTAAAAAAACAAACAAAAAATAAAATAAGCAGCATAACTTAGTAATAAGAATCAGGTTTGTGGATCAGAATGCCTGGGCCCAAACATCCAATCACCACCACTCACTAGATCTGCAACATCCAGCAAATTATAGCTAATCATTCCAAACTAGTTTCTTCATCAGCTTTTGGAGACTCCTGAGATGATCCACATAAAACATTTACACAGTGCTTGGCACATCCCGTGTGTGCAGTCACTTGCAGTCATTCGGCCTTTGCTCCCACATAGCACATGGGTGACCTCTGCCTTTCCCTCAACTCCTCACACATCTCAGAGACTGAGCAGGAAGGAGACATGGTCCTGCTGGAGAGGGCTCGGGATCAGAAGCCTGGTCGTCCGCTTTCCAGGCCTAAGGCTGGGTTCCTCTCAGTCTCCCCCTCTCCCCATCTCTCTTCCCTTCTTAAACTCTTGACTCTCTCCATCGCCCCCCTGCAGCAGCAGCTTCCCAAACCCTGGGGAACACCGCCTCCCACCCACCACACAAACCACACAGACAAACCAGGAAGTCCTCGGAGCTGGCCTCCCCACTGGCAGCCTGCAGACACACCCCCTCGTTGTCATCCGCCCTCCCTCAAAACGGGTCACCGGCGCCCACCCTGGGTCACACTGAACACTGTCACAGTGCCACGAGCTCATGCAGTCTCAGAGCACGCACACCACCACGGTTTCACACGGTCACACGCGCGTGCCACTCACCATCACGCCCCTGCTGTCACAGTCTTACACGGCCCCTGCACACAACTGTCCACACACGTCTCACCGTGTCACACCCATCCTCGAACCCCGTCACAGCCTCCCGCGGCCCCACACCCACCGCGCAGCCTCGAGCGCGGCGACGTGGTCTCCCCGTCACAGCCTCCCCCAACCCCGCCAGGCC